AATAACACTTCAATTGAAAAGATTCATTTACAGTATTGTAAGAGAATGCTAAATTACATGATGTCATGATAAGCTCTCAGGCAAAATTTACAAAATCATGTACAAGTTACACGAAAATAACGTCATTAAGTTTAAATGGTTGCAAAATATTAAAGAAATACTAGGTAACTCGGGAATGAACTATGTATGGATATTTCAAGAAACATGTATTGTAAGCAAGACGCTACTGAAAAATACCCTTAAATCTAAGTTACAGGATCAATTTATTCAAAAATGGAATTATGACTTCACAATATCGTCCAGAGGGAATACCTATTCTATTTTGTTTGATTTACCTTGATCCGGATGGCCAGGAAATGAGCTTAAAGCTCGTATTGGCCCAATTTAATTTTGGCTTAGATGAATATTTGACCTCTCGTACCACACAAAAGTGTGGCTGAGTGAAATAAAAACTTGTGTAGCATCTACTTACTGTAGCAATGTTTCCATGTTATCAACAAATAAATCAACGCCTGGATTCTTCGCAAATGCCAGTTTTTCTCACTGCTCGTTCAACTTCCAAAAATACCTCCCACGTGGAGGGTAAGTCGGATTACGGTGTTGACTGTATTTATTCATGCGCGAAATTGTTACCGGGGTAAAAATCAAAACAATGTCAAATCTAACTTTCATATCAGATTTCTATTGATAAACTTAAATAACCCTATACACGTAAGTACAGATACTAAATTGTGGAATAAAATTCAAGTGTTTTTTACATGTTCAATGTACTATATACGTTGTTTGCCAAACAGCACGCGACAACACGCTGTTCCGGCTATTGAATACAAATGTGTGGACTGTCTATAAGGCGGGAATTTTAAATTTGTAATATACATGTAACTTGTAAGTTAAAAAAACCCCATAAAAGGCAGAGAAATGTAAATATAAGTATTGAACTGTTTTTTATGGCATTTATGATCTATTTGAATGACACAGCTTTGCTAGCAAACATCATGATGTGCATTATGATGTTTGCTTGCAAAGCTGTGTCATTCAAATATGTCATCAATGCCATACAAAAACAGTTCAATGCTTAAGTAAAATGCATCGGGAAAATGATATCTATGTACATTGCAATATTTAGAAAACCGAGAAAACATTGTTTTAGATGCAATAGTAATAATATATTTTAACTTAAATTTGCGTTTAATGAAGCCAAGCTCGTGGAAAACTAAGACTTTCAGCCACGTAGTAATATAAGTTCAAATCAAAATTGGAGCTAAGTGTTGTACCATGGTGTAGAGATCAGACTATGATACAAAGACAATTTAGGTTACGTGTGCAAAGGACGACGAGATCGAGTTTGGGACATCAAAAACCCTAACGTTGCACAGTGAACAAACCTGCACGAATGAAAGGAGACTGGTTCAATAGGAAAACAGAATCAAGGAGGAGAAGAGGAGGAAAATGAAGATGAGAGGTCACTGTGGTTTGATTATGTGGGCTACGGAGGAGCGGAATCCCTTATGCTGATATTTGGTTGCTCGCCAAGGCCGCTGAATGGACCTCCTGTTTGAAGAGGACGAAGAAAAAGCAGGAAAGTAACGAGAAACAATCAGCCAGCACCCACTAACAGATGTCACTGTGGACCCCTATATTGCTATTGTTCCGAGTTAGGAATACAAACATTCGGGAAAAGATGACACGTGATTATATGGACGGCCTAGCAGTACCAAACCAACACCAAATGATATATTTGATAATGTACGCAGTAGTACACTGTATGAAACACAAAGCATTCTGATATTTAAAAATTTAAAGACAGATTTCAAGGTTTGTAGTTCTGTTACTTTTTACAGCGAATAGGTCAATTTGTGACAAACCCCGTTTTTGACCGTCTTAGTGATATGCAATGTTGGGTGTTTCATATTTGGATATTTTTGAAATTCTAACAATATAATGCAATGTAAAACCAAATGAAATAACTCTACCAATACGCTGCACGCATATTATTTAGCACCAAGATTCGTTCTTTATATACTTAGTCTGTTTATTTATTTATTTCATTGAATGCAGATTGTTTAAATCTGCAAGAAATTAGGTAAATAGAGAGGTGACGTTTGATCATAATCCACAATGTAGCTGCTGCAGCGATTCCACTGAAATTTGTTGGCGATTTTCTTTAAAGTTTAGCAGTGACTTTGCTCGATCTGAGCATTCCGAAACATTCAACCTCCTCATGCTACCTCAATTTTGCTTTGACATATTCCATGGGTGCAGAGAACGAGCTTGAGCTTAAACTCTGGAGCATCGAGGATGCATTATCATCCGTTGCAAGTTGCGAAGCAGGTCAAATAATCCCGACTCGAGCGACAGTTAAAACTTATACATGCTGAATGCTCGAACAATGAGCTAGTCCCGTTGTCAAAGTCGGTCGATATAAGAATTCAGTCAACAGCGTCTTTTAAATCGTCATCTGATTTCTTAGGAAACTTCTTTCACAGATGCACTTTCAATTTCCATTCACCCATCTCGCTCACATTCCAACCGCATCGCGGCCTGATAAGCTTAGCCGCTGTACATCCGTTGTTTAAGAGCAAAGAGCCCAGTCACTTGGTGACATGTTCGACTCTGTAAAGTTCCAGGTAGAAGTAAATAAGGTTGCGTTGGACTCTGTTCAGGAAGATACGATAGCTAACACATCTGTCCTCCGTAACGAAATTGACTTCTTAACTTATATTTTACTTTTACTTTTACTCGCAACTAATTTACACAAAGGAATTTACGTAGGTCTTAAATAATAATTTACCATTAATACTAAATTAATTAAATATACATTCTGTAAATGACTTACCCTGCAGGTGGTGCTTGAGATATTTGTAGATGAATTATTGATCGAGCATACCAACCACCGATGATAGATAAACTTCTGGAAAACGAAAGTACGGGTCACGTGATATAGCGGCACGAACGGAAAAGGTAATTCACTTAAACAAATTTCGAGGATAAAGTATTTATTTTCTTCCAAATCCAAATAATCAAATTAAAACCAAAATATATCATATACACTTAACATAACAGGGTGCCACACTCTGATAGACTGATAAACACAGTGGTGGAGAAACGAAAACCACCGACTAATAGCAAGGTACTAACAACTTCATTTAAGGAATGATTTTTATTTTTTCAACATTTATGACCTCATAAATGTTGAAAAAATAAATATCATTCCTTATATTTACATTGACGAATCCTTTCAGTGGATCGATATAATAACGGGTGCAACGCAGTGGCGAGAACAGTGTTTTTTCGCGGGGAAATGTGACACTATCGTGAGAGATCTTAGCAACCGTCAACAACAATAACACAACAAAATGTAGTTCCATATTCAATGTTTATTTGTAGCACAGGACACGTGAATACGTGGATATTTCACAAAGCACAGTTCAATAATATTTTAAGATGTAAGAATTAAGCATCTAGGTCGGTCGTTCCGAGTGAGTAGTTTTTGTAGTGTATTACTACGCAGTGTGATCAGGTTACTATCAGTTCCCACGTGCTGAGATTCTATGAACACCTGTGTTATGCATTTATGAATGTAATTTTTGTCAATGGGTCTAACCATACAGAATGTAAATATTTGACTATGTGCCACAGAGGTGTGATGCTTCTGAATAATAGGCGAGTATTTTATGTTGCGCTTATCATTTGCAGCTACCCGCATCATTTGAAACTGCCTGAAAATTAAAGTTACCAACATCATCGCTTCACAGTTTCCTTCATCATGCCAAAATTGACGATGTCATTATTAGCTTATCTACTCACATCATCACTAGCTCATCGATTTAGATTACCTTATAGAACATGTACTAAAACAATTACCGATAGACTTGCTTCGAATGCAGTATAAGATTAAGACTCGCCGTTTTCGCTCTCCGCCATGTTGGATACGAGTATCTACAGTAACTTGCATTCAGTTATCATATATACACGTACACACAAAGCGTCGCGCCCGCCCGTATAAATCGCGCGGAGTGTGAATTAGAAAACACGGGCATTTTATCAATAACATATTTACACAAACATTGTATAATACATGTGCATTATATATAGAATGAATACAACATATTACAAATACTGCATTAATACATGTAACATATACGTGTACAGAAATGTAGTTTGAATACAACGTATTACGAATAACATATAAAGTATGAATACTTTAATTGAATAAACACATTTTTTGTTTAGATGAAATAACCCTGTTAGATAACTCAAATATTTTACAGGGTATTTTTGTTTCAAATTAAGCTCTATTGTCAATTTTAAAGATAATCAAAGCTTTTTAAACATACTGGTATGTAAATTAAACGATTATGAAATATGCAAAGTTTAACTTTTTTTTTATTGCTCAACTGTGTATTTCGTAATGTTATTTTCAGGACGGTGTATATGTATTTCTTTTTTGAATGAAAAAAAGAATATTTAAGGATTGACGTTCATTTTGACTGCGTATAAGGTAGTATGAACGCAGTTGGCAACGAACATATTCTATGGTGTGCGTTAGCACTCCATAAAGAATATGTTCGTGTCCAATTGCGTTCTTACTACCGTATACGCCCGTCAAAATGAAGGTCAATCCTTATATTTACATTCAAAAAATGTTTAGATGCTACATTCCACAGAAAAAAAAGTCGAAACGTGTCGTTACGATGGTAACTACGGTAGCCGTGCTTGCCAGAACAATATAGTTCCAGTGAATCTACATCGATATATGAGTAAATTTAGAAAATACGCAGTGAACAACACCATTTGTTTCCCTTCATGGCTTTTACATTTCGAATTTAGCAATGTGAGAAGCGATTCGAACTTTCTATTCATTTACAACGGTCGTCATGTAAGCGCATTGACACACTGCTCATGGATTGACGCGGTCAGAACGAAGCCGCCATTGTTGACGTTACCGCAAAAGACATTTGAATGTGTATCCATGAAAGTTTGTTAGCATTCTTTTTTTTGTTTGATTAGACATAATGGATCCCGAATATGTTCTTTGTATCTAGATGGTGAATTAACCAAGCATTGGTTGTCATTGGACTGTTATCTCGCTGAAGCGTTAACGGCGCCGCCCATATTTGAAACAAGTATCAATTCGCCGAGACTTTTTCACTGCGTATACGCTAATTTACTGAGCTGAAGAAGGGAGACATGTTATTATTTGTTCTTAATTTTAAATAAAGCGCATCATGAAATATGTTTGAACGGAACTGTGTTGCATATACTCTCATAAATGTTAAAACGCGCATCATGGAATATAGTTTGAACGGAACTGTGTTGCATACCTTCATCAATGTTAAAAAGGTGCATTTCAAACCATAATTGAAAGTGTGTATTATATGAAAAGTAAGCAGGTAGCTATTTAATTTCTTGTCAGCAAGTGTCATATCACAGAAAAGTCTGCGGTAAATGTGTTCTCTGTTGCAGCCCTTGAATCTCGAGGCTCAATTTTAATGCCTAGTCGCACATTTATGGGATTCCTTTGTACTATTTTTTCTCGTTTAACGGTTGGGCCATTAACAGAAGAATTCACTATAAATATGTTATCGTCGGGAAACTCGATGTCAGTAGTGTTTACAGCACTAGTGCGACGACGTGGGTAATACGTCACCTGTGGCCATGGTAACGTGGACACTCCCACCCTGCGTGTCGTCCAGGGTGCCATTATCTCAACCACAGTGTCGCGGAAATTCGCATTGGTGAAGGCGTATATGAAAGGATTATATGCACACGATGCTTTGGCGAATAACGTCGGAAGAGCGGCAAAACTGTTCTCGACGTTGAAACTACCAATAGCCAAGGCTGACATGATTGCGTATGGTGTCCATGCTACCATGAACGCCGCCATCATCAGGAAACTGATCTGTAATATAATTTACGAAGTATAGATTACCAACAATAGTAGGCGAGGTTCTGATCTGTAATAGAGAACTGATGGACGACAGATAACCAACACTAGCGGTTTAATCTCGTATTCTGCTTCATATACAATGTACTAATACATGTAATACATTGTACAGAATTTAACAGATGACATTTCATAGACGTCTGTTTAAAGAAAGACAAGGAAAAAATGAATGAAAAAAGAAAATCGGACTTATTAACTAGCATGTTCATCAGAATGGTAACAAGTAAACTGTCTAAGGTAATGAAGTTAGCGGGTCTATATAGTCATCAGTTTCACATGGTAACATACTGCACACTATCATTTATGTAGCGTAGCTACATTGTATCAAAGCATCCTGGTAACATTTAAGTCACATGTAAGTCAGATAGGTATATTATGTAACTGATCTGGAACAACTTCACCGTAACACACTGTCATTATTCAGATAGGATTCGAACCTGTTTAACGCCCTGGTACCACGTTATTGTAGGTTTGATAGTGACTGTTATATATACAAAATGTTCTATACTCTTATTTTGCTAAGGATCAAATATTATATTTTCCTTCCTTTTTGTTTTTGGGCGAATCTGGTAGCCTTCCAAATCGTCCTGTGTTTGTGTGTTCAGTCAAACATAAAAACGCGTGCACGCTTTTCCACGTGTACCTTTCAAAAGCTAAGCTAGGCTAAGTAAGGCGTTGTTCAAATTGTTAAGGAAATCAATTTGATGAATATTCTTTTCGTGTTTTTGTTTAAATATGGCACAAAGACAAACCAGACAAGCGGCATCGGAATGCTGCAAGCTAGCATGTCTCAACGTCAGGTTGCATCAAACCTTGGGGTGTCTCAAAGTGTGGTGGCAAGAATGTGGAATCGTTTCCAAACTAATGAAGACAACCTGGGGAGAGGTTCCAGGAAGGTAACGTTGTGGAACATGACCAATATGGCGGGAAAACTGACATCCATGACTTCCATTTTTGTACCGTTACGGCCCGGATTTACTGCGATGAAATCCTTGATGCCTATGTCAGACCCTACGCTGGCGCTATCGGCCCTGACTTTATCCATAAGGACGGTAATGCTAGGCTACATAGAACAAGGGTGACTGAGCAGTATATACAGCAAGAGATATTAAACGAATGGATTGACAAACCCGCTCGCCGGATCTAAATCCCATCGAGCATGTGTGGGAACATGCTTCAGATAGAAAATGTGCCCGTCTGCCAGAAATGTTCCGCCAAGAACGCTCCTGGAGCCGGGAACAGCTTTGGTAGCTGCACAGACGTTGTGCTGCTGTAATTGATGCTCATGGACTCGATACTAAAACAGTTTCTGTTTATTTAGGACGAGTTTTGTTCAATTTAAGTTTTTTAGTGAATACCTCATTGTTACCAATTTTAAGGGTAACCCTTTTCCTGTGGCTCATTTTTCGACTGTTATTACGATTTTTGGAACTTTTGCATGCTGATGAATTAAAAGAATAAAAAAATAAGCATAAATCAAATTAAATAATTATTTTCACATATGCCCAAAAATAAAAGTGATCCTTAGCAAAATGTGAGTAGTACATGTATATATGACATTGGTAACAGTGTTACGTTCCCTGTACATAACGGGTTGGTACAAATAATAAGGGTTAATATAATCATCATGGTGTAAATACTTACGAATGTTACGCGTTGTTCAATGTCTTGTATAAAGCGGGGTGTATATCTTTGCTGGGCGCGAATGCCGTTCTTTCGGGAATCTTTGCATACCTTCTCCTGTAAGATCATTCCATAGGAGAAAACAATGATGCTCAACGGGAAAACATATACTGCCACGATGACGGATATGGTATAGCTGACGTCACCAAGTCCATGTCCATACCAGTTCACGCTACAGGACACGGGCACCACTTCTATGACGTAGGAAGACCAGCCAAAGAGTGGAGATAAAGTCCAGAACATGGCAAAGGACCAGATTGAGAACAGAGTTCGTAACACTGTCGTCTGTGTTATCTTTTTACCTGAAATAGAGTCAGTATAATGTGGTCCATTAAAACTCGTTTCAAAAATGCTTATCAATTCCATAATCCTTTCAGTTATATAATTGTACACCTTTTTTCAATTGAAGTACATACCGTATTTTAGTCCGAATTATTCTGACGTTTTATCGACTTTTTCATATCGGTCTGTCGTCGATTAACGTCAGAACTCCGGCCCTCTATAATATGCTTGAAATATGCGACCCGCGCCCGGAGCGCACTTCAAACTGATATTTTTGAAACAAATCGTCACTTTCACACACATGTCGCACATGGATCGAAAGATCTATTCTTAATGCACTAGGTGGTATCAATAACATGTTTCAAAAAACCAATAGAATCACTAAAAACATATGTTTTCAAACTTACTCTGTTTTACTCTAGTTTTTTTTATAGCCCCGCCTTCTAATGTCACGTGACTAAAATCTCGCCAGCCTACGTCATAATGTTGGGAAATACCTTCGGTAACGCGAGATCTCGGCAAGTCATGTGACATTGCTCATGGCCTAATTTCCATTAAAAACATGGGTTGGTATAGAAAACGTTGGAAAATACTTTTCGTAATGTTTTTTGAAACATGTTATTGATACCACCTTGTTTCTAAAATATCAGTTTGAAGTGTGCTCCGGGCGCAGGTCGGATATTTCCAGCATATTATATAGGGCCGGAGTTCTGACGTTAATCGACGACAGACCGATATTAAAAAAGTCGATAAAACGTCAGAATAATTCGGACTTACCGTATTTATATACTGAAGTCGAAATATATCGTCTTCTACAATTTATATATATATATAGAGTCCCCCTTAGTGTATACACTGTCATCTAAAGTATATATACTTTCCCCCATAGCAGTGGCGGATCCAAATACCTATCTTGGTGTTTTTTTTCCAAATTTCCAAGGGTGGTTGAAAAATTGAGGAAAATGGTGAATATACATGATTTTTAAAGAAAATTCTCAGGCTGTCGGGTTTCCTGAAGCCCCCAAAACCCCTCTGGATCCGCCACTGCATAGCAAATATATTCTCCCCTACAGTGAATACGCTGTCCATTTCACACTCGTACAGTTTTAGTGATTTTACAATTACTGTCACTTGTAACATGTATACACTGTAACCATTACGGTATGTAAACTGACCCTTTCAGTAAATACACTGTTCCCTTCAGTAGATACGTTGTCTCCTGGTTGTTTTTACATACATTGTAACCTAGTCATCTACCCAATTAACTAGATTTAGAAACACATGGTTAACTATCCTAGTTGTTTGACCTCTGGCTAATACGTACGGTAACCATACTGACAAATGATGATATAACGACAAAAGCTGAGAGCAGCGTGTGTCATGATGCTGATCACTCCCGAGTTGAAACACAGGAAGGCGTAAATCTTGCAGCCGATGTTGTCAAATATCCATCTGAAAATATACGTTGTTTTAACAATATGAAATAATACCCTAAACATCGCGATAACGTCTCGCTTCACAAACACATTGTAGGTCACAAAAATGTTCTAGGACTGTGGCCCTGTTTGACGTATACTTACTTCCCGCCTAAACCAAGGATACGTCACTTTAGATTGGTCGCTCTGAATATATCACTCTGAATACATCTCATAAGGAATACATCATTTTAAACAAATAATTCAGGACATATGAGATATGACACAAGAAATGACACTCTTAACATACTACACTAGACATACAACACTAGAGATATAACACTGGAGATATCACTCAGGAGATATCACTTTTGACATACTACACTAGACATACTACACTGGAGATAGCACAGGACATATCATTTTTGACATACTACGCTAGACATACTACACTGGACATACTACACTTGAGATAGCACAGGACATATCACTTTTGACATACTACACTAGACATACTACACTAGACATACTACACTGGAGATAGCACAGGACATATCATTTTTGACATACTACACTAGACATACTACACTAGACATACTACACTGGAGATAGCACTTTTGACATACTACACTAGACATGCTACACTAGACATACTACACTAGATATACAACACAGGAGATATCACAGGACTTATCATTTTTGACATACTACACCAGACATACAATACTGGCTATATCACTGTATATATCACACAGGACATATCACTCTTAACATACAACACTGGAGATATCACACGGAAAATATCACTTTTGACACACTACACTAGACATACAACACTGGAGATATCACAGGACATATCACTTTTGACATACAACACTGGACATATCACTTTTGACAGACAACACTGGAGATATCACACAGAACATATCACTTTTGACATACTACACAATAATACACCACTGGAGATATCACCTTTGACATACTACACCAAACATACAACACTGGAGATATCATAGACATATCACTTTTGACATACTACACTAGACATACAGCACTGAAGATATCACAGGACATATCACTTTTGACATACAACACTAGACATACTACACTAGACATACTACACTGGCTATAAAACACAGAACATATCACTTTTGACATACTACACAGGACATACAACACTGGATTTATCACACAGGACATGTCATTCTTAACATACGAAACTGGAGATACCACAAAGGACATATCACTTTTGAGATATCACCTTTGACATACTACACCAAACATACAACACTGGAGATATCATAAACATATCACTTTTGACATACTACACTAGACATAATACACTAGACATACTCCACTGGATATAAAACACAGAACATATCACTGTTGACATACTACACAGGACATACAACACTGGATTTATCACACAGGACATGTCATTCTTAACATACGAAACTGGAGATACCACAAAGGACATATCACTTTTGATATACTTCACTAGATATACAACAGAGGAGATATCACAGGACATATCACTTTTGACATACTACACAGGACATACAACACTGGATATATCACACAGGCTACACTAGACATACTACACTGGAGATAGCACAGGACATATCATTTTTGACATACTACACTAGACATACTACACTGGATATAAAACACAGAACATATCTCTTTTGACATACTACACAGGACATACAACACTGGATTTATCACACAGGACATGTCATTCTTAACATACGAAACTGGAGATACCACAAAGGACATATCACTTTTGACATACTTCACTAGATGGAGATATCACTTTTGACATACTACACTAGACATAATACACTAGACATACTCCACTGGATATAAAACACAGAACATATCACTGTTGACATACTACACAGGACATACAACACTGGATATATCATACTACACTAGACATACAGCACTGAAGATATCGCAGGACATATCACTTTTGACATACAACACTAGACATACTACCCTAGACATACTACACTGGAAATAAAACACAGAACATATCACTTTTGACATACTACACCGAACATACAACACTGGATATATCACACAGGACATATCACTTTTGACATACTACATTAGACATACAGCACTGAAGATATCACAGGACATATCACTTTTGACATACAAAACTAGACATACTACACTAGACATACTACACTGGCTATAAAACACAGAACATATCACTTTTGATATACTACACCGGACATACAACACTGGATATATCATCACTCTTAACATACAACACTGGAGATATCACACGGAAAATATCCCTTTTGACACACTACACTAGACATACAACACTGGAGATATCACAGGACATATCACTTTTGACATACAACTCTAGACATACTACACTAGACATACTACACTGGCTATAAAACACAGAACATATCACTTTTGACATACTACACCGAACATACAACACTGGATATATCACACAGGACATGTCATTCTTAACATACGAAACTGGAGATACCACAAAGGACATATCACTTTTGAGATATCACCTTTGACATACTACACCAAACATACAACACTGGAGATATCATAAACATATCACTTTTGACATACTACACTAGACATCCTACACTAGACATACTACACTGGCTATAAAACACAGAACATATCACTTTTGACATACTACACCGAACATACAACACTGGATATATCACACAGGACATGTCATTCTTAACATACGAAACTGGAGATACCACAAAGGACATATCACTTTTGAGATATCACCTTTGACATACTACACCAAACATACAACACTGGAGATATCATAGACATATCACTTTTGACATACTACATTAGACATACAGCACTGAAGATATCACAGGACATATCACTTTTGACATACAACTCTAGACATACTACACTAGACATACTACACTGGAAATAAAACACAGAACATATCACTTTTGACATACTACACAGGACCTACAACACTGGATATATCACACAGGACATATCACTTTTGACATACAACACTAGACATACTACCCTAGACATACTACACTGGAAATAAAACACAGACCATATCACTTTTGACATACTACACAGGACATACAACACTGGATATATCACACAGGCTACACTAGACATACTACACTGGAGATAGCACAGGACATATCATTTTTGACATACTACACTAGACATACTACACTAGACATACTACACTGGCTATAAAACACAGAACATATCACTTTTGACATACTACACCGGACATACAACACTGGATATATCACACAGGACATATCACTTTTGACATACAACACTAGACATAATTCACTAGACATACTACACTGGATATATCACACACGACATATCACTTTTGACATACAACACTAGACATAATTCACTAGACATACTACACTGGATATATCACACAGAACATATCACTTTTGATATACTTCACTAGATATACAACACTGAAGATATCACAGGACATATCACGTTTGACATACTACACAGGACATAAAACACTGGAGATATCTCACTACACTTGACATACAACATATCACTTTTGACATACAACACTAGACATAATTCACTAGACATACTACACTGGATATATCACACACGACATATCACTTTTGACATACAACACTAGACATAATTCACTAGACATACTACACTGGATATAAAACACAGAACATATCACACAGGACATATCATTCTTAACATACGAAACTGGAGATACCACAAAGGACATATCACTTTTGACATACAACACTAGACATAATTCACTAGACATACTACACTGGATATATCACACACGACATATCACTTTTGACATACTTCACTAGGTATACAACAGAGGAGATATCACAGGACATATCACTTTTTACATACTACACAGGACATAAAACACTGGAGATATCTCACTACACTTGACATACAACATATCACTTTTGACATACAACACTAGACATAATTCACTAGACATACTACACTGGATATAAAACAGAGAACATATCACTTTTGACATACTTCACTAGATAAACAACAGAGGAGATATCACAGGACATATCACTTTTGACATACTACACAGGACATAAAACACTGGAGATATCACACTACACTTGACATACAACACAATTACTCCTGATAATTACATTTGAGATTCGTTAACGTCTTTGATTGTATTACTAGTGTATTGCATGTTCTTTCGTCATTTATCCTCAACCAATTGTCCATTCTAATCCCCCTCTCCAAAACTATGCACTGACAGATTGGTTCGTTTCAGTACTGTTCAATCGGTTTTGGTATTTGCTTATAATTGATATAATTCATTGGTTGTTGTCGATTTGTCAGATGATAGTCTGCTATATATTGGCGTTCGGTCATCTGACTATGTCCTCACGCAGGTGGTCGCACCTTTAAACTTTAGTAACAGATAAGAAAAAGCAACATTTTCTTAACTGTGTGTAAAACATTGACTAAGCTTCTCTCCCAATCAAGTGCTGGTAACGTAAGAGTAAGATGACAAGAACATGCCCATTTATAATTTTGAAAGTTTCGATTGCTACTGCGCGTATTCTAGATCTATTGATATGAAGATAAGTTACACCTTCTACCTTGGAACTACTCATTACCAGAAATAAAAGATTGATACACAATGAGAACTGATCTCTCAAAAGATGCCGGATTCCGACACTGATGAATACATATTGGGAGCAGAAGTACAGCTCAAATTTGCCAACAAAACCAAAGACCACCTGTCTCAGGCAAGGACTACAAAAAAAGAACAAGCAAAATCACCAACTCATCCACTAAGCACTTACTTCTGGTAGGTAACAATAATCTACCATACATAAACATGGGTACATCAGACTCATCATCTACGAAAAGACAAGCAAACCCCGTAAGGTAAAATTACTTGCATACGTACAACGCCCGCAAAAGAAAACACAATAACTCTCCATGTTGCAGAATTTTAAGATCATTTAAAAGGGATTTGTCAAAACACATGCAGGAACAAACTCTATAGGCGGCACG